TCCTCGTGGTTCCCTCTGCCAACTATCATGGTTAATTCCTGATGAATTCATCATGATGGGCTAACTGGCCTGTATTCATTCTCATCTATCACCCTTCACTGGTGCTCCGCCAGTGTATCCCGTTAGCGCGGGCGGGGTTACCATACCATTTTCACCCATCAAAAAAATGTCATGATGAATACACCTAGAATTCAGCAGATTGATGTTAAAATCATTAACCTTAAACACACAATACTTTTTATATCTGGCATTAAGTAATTAGTTTATACACTAATTCATTCAACTCTGAGGTTAACGTGTAGCCCCGGTATAGAATAGGCCACCCCTTCCTTTCCTGTGGGTGTTGTAAAAGGCGACTAAAAGAGGACGAAGGATGGACAGTATCGCCCTTATTAAAACATTTATAAAGCCTAACTGCAGTTGCCAATCCACCTGCCAAGCGTGGCAACTACAGGAAACCTCCCAAAGGAGAGGCTTAAGTTCAACAGTGGACAGTTAAAGGCTGATATAATGATAATGAAACTCTGGAGTTACAGTTAGTTAAAAATTTTATTATTATTATCTCAAAATTACTAAAACGATTTGGTAAAAATACCACCACTAGGGACTAATTTGTAAGCATATTACGAGTATTTCGGATAAGGAAAAAATTTTCCAAATCGGTTCACAATTGATCGAATTATGAATTAACAAACAAATAAAAAGTACTATTTTCCCGTGTCTATCTTCATCTTCCAGTGTCACTCTCTCCTGTTGTATGTGTGCTTTAAAATTTGTGTATGTTTATGTATGTATTTGTCTATATATATATATATATATATATATATATATATATATATATCTTTGTACATATTTGTTTATATATAATAGTGCGCCACCTACCCTTAGTTTTTCCTTCTTTTCTCAATGTCCTCTACCCAAAGATTGTCTGGAAGAGATTGCTCAGCGATAAGGCCGCCTTTTATATCATTTCTCATTACAATTAAATGTATTTACTATTCTATAAATGGTGCAATAAAGTGTAAAATAAAATAAATAAATAATACGACCGAAATGAGAATCTCTTTTTCAAATCGATTGAAAAGTGAGTCACTTGTTCACAGTTAATTTTTTTATTATCACAGATACTTACCTACTATTTTACACCTGCAGACGTATACATACCTACTTGTACAGGCCTAGTGTGTCTGCGCCATACCGCCATAGTGAATTGTGTGTATTTCCATTGTTCTAGTTGAATTTATTCATGATATGCATGCTGTGCCAATTATATATGCGTCGCCTGGTGTTTTAAAAACATACATTGTATATGCGAAAATATTTGCATAAATAATTAAGTGTTGTAGATGACAATTCTGGTGTAGCGGTTTACACATTGCTCCAATTTATGGTAGTCAGTTCGAAGCTCGTACAAACTTTTGTATTAAAGAGTGCTTATGTTGACAATGACTTTTAGAATTTTTGTCTGTTTGTCTGTATGTTTGTGCACGCTAATATCAGAAACGGTTTAATCGATTTAAATTTGCTCCACTTAACATTTAGTGTTTATTTCAATTGGTTCATAAATAGAAAAGTTATATCAATCTAAAGAATTATATATTTATATATATATATATATATATATATATATATATATATATATATATATATATATATATATATATATATATATATATATATATATATATATATATATATTGTATCCTTCATGCGTCGCTGTTTGTAAAAACTGAGGAAGCATAAGAGTTTCCACAGCATATAACTTCATTGCCACATAGAAACGCAGCCATTCAAGCATAGCTACTTGATAGCACAAACATGAGCGAATTTACAGGGTACAAAGGAATAACACCTGAGTTCCCAGGAACGGCAACGCATGGGGAGTATCATGGGCGAAACAGTATACTCTGTTATGTCCATGGTACCACTCATGTCTATAGGCGACGATTACCACTTTCCATCAGGTGGGCCGTCAGTTTGTTTGCCATTCTAAGTTGCATAAAAAAAAATTAATGGGACGTTACCCAAGTAGACGACATTTGTAAGTTTTCATTAGGTAATTAATTTTTACCAAATTTCGTACCATCATCGTCATCATATCAGCCCTTAATTGCCCATTTCTGAACATAGGTTGAGACCTACATGAGCGAGCCCATATGGGGGGATTTATCAGTACCACGCTTAACAGGTAGGATTTTTTTAATGCATGACAATGGAATGGTAACCCCGCCTGTGCTAAGGGTATACTCTGGCGGCGAATTAGTGAAATATGATAGATGAGATGAACAGACAGATCAGTTAGTCCATCGTGATGAATTGCTTGCATTCATCACGATGACGAAGCGGGTTGGCAACCGCAGTTAGTCTTTTGATGTTTTAATAGGGACGCTGCTGCCTATCCTACGATAATTAAGTTTTCTTAGTCGCCTCTTACGACACCCACGGTATAGGAAATTGTGGCCCATCCTACGCCGGGACGACACGGCAATAATATCGTATAACAGTGGACATTCGTCAAGCTCACCTAACTCATAGTATGAAACGGTCAATATGCATCCACGACCACCTATGCACGTGTATGTATACAAACACTTTCACGTATGTGTCTCTGAGATTTATATGTGTGCGAGACCCTTGTCTGACGGTCGCGTGACAAAAGAATGTATGTGATTTTTTTATGATATTTTTCTAATAGTAGAAAAAAAAATTAAGAGGCTGTGCCGAAATTAGATTTTTTTCTTTAAAAAGTAACAATACGACATTATTTGATTTTTGTTTTTATTTATTTAACTAACATTTTGTTCATTACTTCGTAGGCAAGAATTTAACAGAGTATACTGTTTTTCCCATGATACCCCCCATGCGTTGCCATTCCTGAGGACTCAGGTGTTATTCCTCTGTACCCTGTAAATTCACTGCCATATCCCACTCTTCAAACTAAAACACAGCCATGCAAACACAACTGCTTCACGGTAGAAACACGAATGGGACAGAGGTACCCAAGCAATCGACTTTTGTACAAAGTCTCCCTCTGGTAAAGATCCTTAGTTTTTAAGACCTTGAGGAATACAACAAACAAAACCGCATATAATTTGATGCAGTAGTTTTTACATGTTACCGAAGCAAACATACAGACAGACAAAATTTCTTAAATATTTCATCTATTGATCTTATTAAGGCCCCCGCGGGCTATGGAGAAGGCTATGTTCGGAGTTTCTTTGTTTGATAAAATCCGAAATGTGGGTATCCGCAAAAAAACAAAAGCGTGAATTTACTAGGTCCAGAGGAATAACACCTGAGTCCTCAGGAATGGCAACGCACGGGGGAATTATCATGGGCGAAACAGTACTCTATTATGTTTTTTTATACAATTTAGAATGGCAAACAAGCTGACGGCTCACCTGATGGAAAGTGGTAACCGCTATCGGTATATACTGGCGGGGCACCAGAGAAATATGCTTTATGAGAATGAAGCATAGCCCATAATGACGAATGTAACAAGAATTAGACCTAATAGGGCATATTGCTAGGAATAGGCCTGTTAAACCCCATTACTAACAATCCCTTACCCCCCAAACGACGGTGTTATGACGTATCAAATATAAAACTTTTTTTAAAAGTCGCTTGACAGTTTTACACGGTGATGTGTACTTCATACACAATGCTTTCAAAAATAAAGTAGGTATTTACTGTGAAACAAGAGAGCAAAATAAGCATTACGAAATGCAACCTTGGCGGTATATTAGTAAAAGACAATATAGTACACGGTTTATGTCCTTGTACCCATTTTTAGAAAATTAAAAACAAACAGGTGTCACTATATTATTACAACCTTAGATTATTAACTGTAAAGGTGTTTTTAGCCCTCCCTTGCTAATAAGTTGTTAAACTAATCGCTATATGTACCTATTGTTTAAGTGCATTTAAGAAAATATATATATATATATATATATATATATATATATATATATATATATATATATATATATATATATATATATATATATATATCATCGTTATTTCAGCCATTATCTGTCCACTGCTGGACATACGCCTCCTTCATAAACCGCCATAAGAAACGGTCCTGAGCCACCTGCATCCACTGACTCCCTGTAATGCATTTGAGGTCGCCACTCCACCTAGTGGAGGGCCGTCCTACATTACGTTTGCCCGTACGAGGTCGCTACTCAAGAACCTTTCTTCCCCATTGCCATTTTAACTTGCTTATCCTTCGTATTAACGTCGTAACGTGTTATTAATAAATTACAAGGAAGGAGGAAACAATAAAGATTATCTATCTATCTACAGATTATCCAAACTTAAAATAAATATCTTTTTATCGTAGACTTTCTTCGATTTCTCTTCTACTCATATATGAGTGATAACAATCTATTAAATACACAAAGCAGAAATAATATTTTTACGAATAATGAACAGTTTTCTAAATTCCATTAATTGCTTCGCACGCAAAAATATCGAACATTACGGAGCACAATTGTATTATCATATTTTTTTACACAGTGCATAGTGTATGTACCTATGTAATTAATTATCTGTTGCATGATACAATCTTACTCAAATGGAGCGTAGAACGCGGTAGCGAGCCCATACTGGGTTTGTATTACAGTGGTACTAGCACTCTAGGTAGACGGTTGCTCTTTCATTAGGCCGTACACGCGACGCCTGCAGCCGACAAAATTGCGGTACGATAAAAAAAAAAAGTTAATTTAAAAAACTGTCACTGTCAAACGTCAGAAAGGGCGGGAATTTGCGTAACGTTATTACACCACAGATTAGTGGGCTGTTGATTTGTATTTTTTTTAATTGTAACATGTCTAGACAACATTAGCGGTTAATCAGACAAATTAAGTTGGTATTGTATTATGTTAGGTGTGTGATGTGTTGGTTTTTTGTGTGTGTGTGTGTGTGTGTGTGTGAAGAGACGGCAGCTTATTGTGGTAATCGAATTAGCCGTAATTAAATTAGTATAGCGGTGAACGCCACGGTCTCGCCTGTAGATACAAACGAGGTGGATGATATTTGAGGATATTATTATTGTCATTCTTTTGTCTTGTTTTATTTTTAAATTTAATTTAATTTAATGTGCTTTGTGATAAATTATAAGTGTTTGAAATTAGTGCTTGACGATATCCGTGGTGCAGTGGTAAGGTTATTTGTGTAATGAGGTGTCGGTTGAGAGGAAAGGGATTGTTAGTAATGGAGACTGAGAATCCCATTGCTAGCAATATTCCCAACCAGGTCGACCTCCTCGCGGTTCTCCCTGGAAACTATCATGTTAATTCCTGATGAATTCATCATGATGGGCTAACTGGTTTGTTTTCATTCTTATCTATCACCCTTTACTGGTGCTCCGCTAGTGTATCCCGTTAGCGCAGGCGGGGTTACCATACCATTTTCACCCTTTAAAAAAAATTAGGTGTCGGATTTGATTTTCGGTTGGACCAATTTCAAAAAATTATATTTTCTACATTGAAGTGGGTTGCCGTTATCTAATTTCCTCAAACCAAATTAATTACTAACTTAGAGGCACTCACAATAATCTAGCTTGAGGGTTACTTAAGTGCTTACTCATGCATACTTATGTAATTACCAACTTCCTGAGCATAAACGGATCGTTAGTAACGGGGACTAGTGCCCCCATTGCTAGAAATATGCCATGTCAGGTCGACCTGCTCACGGTTCCCTCTAAAAACCATCCTAAGTTATTCTTGACATATTCCTGCCTGCTTTCATCCTCACCTACCATCTCTCACTGGTATCAATTCACATCCATATAAAAAAACTACATATCAGCATAAATATATATGGCCTATTTAAAAACAAATTTACATGAATTCCTTTTCTAAAATTTTACATATTCGCATATCGTTTATATATATGTATATATATATATATATATATATATATATATATATATATATATATATATATATATATTTTTTTTTTTTAATGGATGGACCCGCGCTGTCGGTAGACACCGGCGGGGCACCAGTGAAGGATGATAGGTGAGTATGAAGCAGGTCAGTTAGCCCATCGTGACGAATTCAACAAGAATTGTTCACGATGGTTTCCAGAGGGAACCACGTGGAGGTTTTTGATGGGTGAAAATGGTATGGTAACCTCGCCTGCGCTAACGGGATACGCTGGCGGAGCACCAGTGAAGGGTGATAGATGAAAATCAAAATAAGCCAGTTAGCCCATCATGATGAATTCATCAGGAATTAACCATGATAGTTTCCAGGGAGAACCGCGAGGAGTTCGACCTGGTTGGGTATATTGCTAGCAATAGGATTCTCAGTCTCCATTACTAACAATCCCTTTCCCTCCAAATAGAACCTATTAGAAATACATACATTAATACTACCAGTTACATGCAGTTAGATACGTAATAATTACCAGCACGCATTTACTATTAGAAAATTTTTATTCTACCCTACTAATCTAATAAGCTGGCCAACCCGCTCCGGATACGCATGAGTAAATAAAGTTAATTGGACCCACATTCCAGTATTGACTCCTGACAAAGTAATGACTACAGAAGCGCCGTGATAAATGAAGTCCCGGATTCGATCTTGGTCAAGCCAGTTGGGGAGAAGAATTTTTCTAAATTGTTTCAGACCTAAATGGTTGTATAGATAGAGTATCACCATACAAATATTTCGTCTAAAAATAGGTCAACTTCTCTATCCATGTATGCGTAAGGGATAGGCAGCAGTTTCTCTTTTAAAATATCACCAAAGCCTAAATGCGGTTGCCAACTTGCCAAAGGTGGCAACTACTCCCCCCCCCCCCCTCTATATACAGCAATGGACAGTTAATAGCTGATACAATACGATACAGTTAATATATACTATATTTTTTTTATACAACTTAAAATGGCAAACAAGCTGACGGCCCACCTGATGGAAAGTGATAACCGTCGCCTATAGACATGAGCAGTACCATGGACATAACAGAGTATACTGTTTCGCCCATGATACCCCCCATGCGTTGCCATTCCTGAGGACTCAGGTGTTATTCCTCTGTACCCTGTAAATTCACGCCATATCCCACCCTTCAAACCGAAACACAGCCATGCAAACACAACTGCTTCACGGTTGAAACACGAAACATCTTACCACATGCCTATTCTAATCGAAAATAGTGTCCTGTACTATATATGTATGTGTGTATGTATCAAATTTCAAATAAAAAAATAATTTGTCCATCGTTGGAGTATCATAATTTTCTTCTAACTTTAAAGCCCTCTTACTATGTGAACTTTATTATATTATTTGTCATTATCGTCGTTGAACATAGGTTTCCCACTACTGGGAGGTTTTTTTAATGGATGATAATAGAATGGTAACCCCGCCAGCGTATACCGTTAGCGCAGGCGGGGTTACCATTCTATTATCATCCATTAAAAAACCAGCAGGCGCCAGTGAGGGATGATAGGGGACAATGAAAAGGCAGGTCAGTTAGTCCATCGTGATGAATACACCTGGAATTCAGCACGATAGTTTTCAGGGAGGACCACGTGGAGGTCGACCTGACAGGGTATATTGCTAGCAATAAGACTGATAGTCTGCATTACTAATGATCCCTTCCCCTCCTCCTATTGAGTGGTTTTAGTTGCTATGCAATAGTTGCTATGCTTGAGAAGGGGGCCAGTTACCGCACTTACGCTTTGATTATGTTTATAGAGCGATACCAGAGGGCAAAGGAATTGTTAGTAATGCGAACTATCAGTCTCATTGCTAGCAATATACCCTGTCAGGTCGATCTCCACATGATCCCCCCCAGAAACCATCGTTCTGAATTCCAGGTGTACTTTCACGATGGAGTAACTGACCTGCCCTTTCATCTCACGTATCATCCCTCAGTGGTGCCCAACCAGAGTATACCGTTAGCGCAGGCGGAGTTACCATTCCATTATCATCCATTGAAAAGAAAAAGAGCGACGCTGCTATCCATTCCTCGACCACAATATTCCTTTAGTAGTCTCTTAAAAGAATGTATCGCCCATTCTGTGTCTTCCCTTTAAAGCTAATATAAAACACTAATTTATCTTTAAAAAAACTAATTATAACTTTAAAGATGGCTATTAATAAAAAAAAAGGGTGAAAAAACTATAACTTGAGTAGTTCAGTAACTTCTAAGTAGTTAGACATCCCACTTTAAAATGTAAATACTTAGACGCTACGTCGCAACGCAATATAAAGTTTTTATCAGGACAAAATAAAATTTCACTACCTCTATACTGCAGGGCTACTAAGCTTTGGATAAACGAAGTCTCAGTTTTTTTTTTATTTATTTATTATACATATGAAATATATGAAACAATAAGGGGAGTTCCCAGTAGTTGCCACGCTTGGTGAGTGAGTTGGCAACTGCAGTTAATTTTCGGTGACGTTTTAAGAGGAACCCTGCTGCCCAAGCCTTGACCATTAAGTTACTATAATCGTCTCTTACGACACCCTAAACTAATATAAAATACTAATATATCCCATTAGGTCGACCTACGCGGTTCCCCCTAGAAATCATCGTGACTAATTTATCGTTAAATTCGTCACGATGGGCTAACTGACCTTTTCATCCTCACCTATCATCTCTCAGTCGGGGTTACCATTCCATTATTATCCATATATATATATATATATATATATATATATATATATATATATATATATATATATATATATATATATATATATATATATATATATATATATATATATATATATATATAATACTAATTTATCTATCTGCCTAACCGCGTGAAGCCGGGGCGTATCCCTAGTATAATATAAAAATAATAAAGTCATAATTTAACAGAAATATTTTTTAATGTCGCTTTTTTAATTCCAATACAACAAGGCTTCCAATCGAGTTATGTTGATAAAATTGCTAGAATCAACCCCGGCGCGCGTTGACTCCATCAATTATACCCTTCGGAGCTTATACCTCCAGTCGACTTCGAGTAGACGTGACTGGGAGGTGAGCAGGGGGGCCGGGGGACGGGGGACGTGACAAAATCATAATTTGTTAAAGTCAAATTCCTTAGCAATTTACTATTATTTCTTTTAGTAATTTACTTTGCCCGATTTAAATGTCCTTTGAAATTACGATATGCATAATTCATTTATTTTTAGGTGGCATTCCTGCGAGAATACATTTGAAGTCTTAATTTACTTTACAAACGACTTCAAAAAACGGTCGCTCACAACTCTGTTGTATTTTTTAGCACAGAAATCTAGCATTTATAAAACGATTATAGGGATTCTTTTTTATCCGAAATTGTTATACACTTTCAGATTGTTCCCATAGAAATTTTAAAGAATTTAGTTTAATAATTTAGATTTTTAATCACTTAATTTTTTTAAGGTTTTGCCACAACTAAATGCTGTTTTTTTTTTGAGATTCAAAATTTACTTGTAAACAATTATAGAATATTAAGCCAAATTAATTAATTTAAAAAGAGATTTCAAAAAACATACACATATATAAAAGACGAAATGTTCTGTAGACACATTAGATTATATGGAAATTATTTGGATTTAGAACGTAGAACTGTGTCTCTATAAACAGAATTTGTAATGCAACAAAGTTTCTTACACCACAAAAACTGCACTGTTTCAATCGTTCTCAAAATTAATATGAGACAAAAACAGGGCTAAATCGTATCAATTATAAAAAAATAATAAAAAAATATTTTGCAATCATCTTCTCATCATCATCATCACCTCAGCCGTTATCTGTTCACTGCTGAACATAGGCCTTTCCCATAGACTGCCTTAAGAAAAGGTTCTGAGCCACCTGCATTCACTGACTCCTTGCAATACATTAGAGATCATCACTCCATCTAGTGGGGAAGCTTTCGTCCCTCTTCTATTTTGCAATAATATTATTATTTATTCGATATAAATATAGATTGAAATATACTATAATACTTATCTATTTATATATTATTTTTGCAATAAATTTTATTAATTACCTATAATAAATGGTTTTATTACTAATTTTTCTCAATGAAAAAAAATCACTCTAACTGGCCTAGTAACTTCTCAGAAATCCGCGCATATCGGTTCAAACATACTCCATACATACTTCAGTTACATATATCCAATAAAAACAGACACTCCGACATCCGAGAACATTACTGGAACTCCCAGCTCCCTACCACCTGTTAAGATTACTATGACGTAATCATGGTATGACGTCACCGTGCTGTCTAAAAACGTTGCTATCTGAACTGCGATGCGGTAAAATTTATGGTTTGCGCATCATCGAGAACCAAATGATCGTTTCACGTGACTGTTATTCGGAGTAACGACCGACTATTCATTCATACATAGTCAAGGACAAATTTAGTTTAAGCATTGAAATATTGTATTGTAAAACGATAAGCAAGCTAAAGTGGCAATAAACTGGTCATATAGCTCGAAGAGCTGATAGCTTTTGGGAAAGAAAAGTTTTCGAGTGGCGACCACGTTCGAGCAAACGGTAGTGTAAGACAGATCGTCGATTTGATGGAGTGACGACCTCAAATGCATTGCAGGGAGTCAATAGATGCAGGTGGCCCAAGACCTTTCCTTATGGTAGTCTAAGGGGCAGGCTTATGTTCAGCAGTGGACAGATAATGCCTGAGATGATGACGATGATGTTTTAATATAGTATACTTAGAAACTGGAGACCGGTAGACAGCAGAGGTCGCCAGTTCGGGGCCCGACCACATACTCTTTTTTTGTTGCAGTATCCGGCCGTAGTACCTTCCTAATGCTCCTCAAATATTGCGTCTAAACTGCGCCCACCATGTACTCTCTTGTATAGGCATTCCGTCACCCGTATCCAATAGCGAGGACGGGATGCCTTAAATACTGTACCGCATATCATAGAAGATAAAAAAAATTATAGGAAGGAAGAAAATTACAGGAATACAAAATCATTTTACGCCGTGTGGTCCCGGCATAGAATGGGCCACCCCTTCCTTTCCCGTGGGGGTCGTAAGAGACTAAGGGAGGGCGAGAAATGGGCATCAGCGTCCCTCTTAAAACACCTCTAAAAGCCTACTACTTTTTATCAGGTGGGCTTGTGTTAACTTGTTTGCCGTTCTAAGTAGAATAAAAAAAATAATTATATTTAGTATTATCATCATATCAGCCTTTAACTGTCCACTGCTGAACATAAACCTTCCTCTAAGGAGTTTTGCCAGTAGTTGCCATGCTTGGCAGGCGGGTTAGCAACCGTAGTTAAGCTTTGGAGATGTTTCAAAAGGGACGCTGCTGTCCATCCCTCGCCCTCCCTTAGTCGCCTTTTACGACACCCACGAAGAAGGAAGGGTAGGCCTATTCTATGCCGGGACCACATGGGTATTTAGTATATTAGTATATAATTAATAAATTGTATTGTCTGTCAATTAAAAGGATTTTATTATTTATTATGCTTTATCTACTTGTATGTTAAATAAAATTTACTCAAACGTGTTAATTGTTAAATAAAACAATTAACTTTATAATAAATTTTATTGTTAAATAAGCACGCATTATAGTTTAATAAACTTAGTTTAATAAACTTATTTTAATAAAATTATTATTTACAACAAACTTGTTACAGGAATTCGCTAGCTGTTTTCATAACTGAAGCGAGCCTGAAAGCTGAGGAGCACGTGAAAAGCAGCAGAAATTAAAAAGCGAGCAATTAACGTAAGCATCACTTATCATGGTTTTAATTTAGTTTGTCAAATTAACGCACTTCCTTAAGTTACGTTTAAGTTTACGCTCGTGCTTGACTGCGTTTTTAATTATTTTATGTAACTTTGTAATTTGATTCAACGTAGCATTTAAAATAACTTTTCTAATTAAACTGAGTGTTATGGTCGTCTTTATGGAATTGTTTATCAGGTCGTTTAAATCGTCAAATCTTGATTCTTCTACCGCACAATTAAAAAAGATAAAATTGTTGCCTGTGCTAAAAAAAAAAAAAAATAGAATTAGCTGAGTTTGTTTGGTTTTGTTTTATAATTTTAAATATACTTGACGATACCACCTGATGGAAAGTGGTAACCGTCGCCTATAGACATGAGCAGTACCATGGATATAACAGAGTATACTGTTTCGCCCATGATACCCCCCATGCGTTGCCATTTCTGAGGACTCAGATGTTATTTCTCTGTACCCAGTAAATTCACGCCAAATCCCACCCTTGAAACCGAAACACAGCCATGCAAACACAACTGCTTCACGGTTGAACCATGAATAGGACAGAGGTACCCAAGCAATCGACTTATGTACAAAGTCTCCCTCTAGTATTCATGCATATTAAATGTTATATCAGGACATGAGTTGGAACACAACAAAATTTTTTATACTCTCTCTCAAGTCGAGATGTTATAGTCCTGTCAGTATGACCTTATTTTTTTTTTTTTACTTAAACTATATTAACTAAGGAAGAATTGCTATTTGTATGAAACATTTAATAACAAAGTTAATATACATTTAAGTATATATATATATATATATATATATTATAGAATCCGAATGGTACCGAAGCTAGTAAAGTATTGTAATATTTTTTTATGTAAATTTTGTATGATCAATTTTAATAACTATAAAAATAAAGTATTAATTGTATAGGTAAGATTACATAAATTATTTATTTATTTAAAAAACAAATATTTTTTTATTGTCATTACCGTGAATAATGCAGTTTAAATCGCCGTATAGGACAACTCACTTACTAGATGGAGTGACGACTTCAAATTTACTATAGAAAGTCAGTGAATGCAGATGGCTCAGGACCATTCCCTATGGCAGTCTATGGGGAAGGCCTATATTCAGTAGTAAACACATAACGGCTGATAAAATGATAATGATGTACAATGGTTGCCTTTTTCTTTTTTCTTTTGCCAGCCGTTTTAGTGCATTTACATTCCCGTCAATGTACTATAAAATTAACAAAGTGTGTCCACTGATAGGTCATAATTCAAATATTATGAAACACAAATTAAATAATTATCTTTTATCACAATGTTACTAGACAACTGAGAAACTGTGGTCTGGAAAGTAATAACATACAGTACACACACAACTTTCACATGGATTACACAACACACATTCACACATACTCACGAGCATTCCCACATTCATTTACTCAACTTCGCTTCTCTTAAATACATATATTTATTTTATTATTACATATATATTGTTTTATTATTGCTTGTGTATTTATATTGTTGATTTTATTACTTTTTTCACTATTTTAATTTTATATTCCTTTTTATATTAATACCCGCCCACTATTTACATTTTATTATAACACATTGTGATTTGTTAATCTTTGTCGGGTGCCCACGATACAGGTTCGCCTAGTGTGGGGCCCATTGTATCTTATGTTTGTAACTTTGCGTTTTTTGTCAAATAATAAATTTCTATTCTATTCCTTTTTCTGACATACAATATATATTTTAAATGGTTGAACACAATAAAAATGGAAAATAATTTCGGAATACACTCTCATAATTATTTTTGGTCATGGCAATTGGAGTCTATAACTAAGTGTCTATACCGCAAATGTAGTACGTAATTGGTAATAAATACGAACCAGAAATATAATCCGAAAACATGGATGTTACGTCATCGATTTTAATTAACCAATTAAGCTAAGATGGTAACCCAATTTCGAGCGAACCAATTTGCTAAATGACTCAATATAAACTGCAATTAATAATAGTAGAGTAATTTCAACCGCTCAAGCGCAAATTTCTATCTCGAACCCGTATCTGGGGATTGGATATTTTGCAGTATTTTCGGTCTACCATTCGTCATTCCGCGAGGCGGAGATCCTCAATTCGTCTATTTTATTTTAACCGACTTCAAAAAAGGAGACGTTTCTCAATTAGGTTACATTTATTTATGTTTGTTACCACGTAACTCCGTTAGTTAAATACCGATTTGGGAAGTTCTTTTTTTTTATCTGAGAGGATATTTTTTCTTCTGATTGCTTCCATAGAAATTTTATCAATAAAGCTTGATTAGTTTAGTTTTAAAATCAAAACTTGGTTTGACATAAGGGAAATAGAGTTTTTTTTTGTGTAACATAATCATGAATTAGTGTGGCTACGTTACTCAGGTCGCCAATTTTTATCTGAACTTTTTAAGTTTCTGCAATTAATAAAGTTAACATCTATAATAGTCCTTATTTATTTTGGACTGATTAATATTGGCGTAGTTTTTTTTATAGGGCAAAAACATATATACTTATTTATAATAAGTAATAATAAAGTATCCTATATTTTTGTTAGATTTTTTTAATAAATAGAGTGACTCAAGAGGAAGGTTTACATGTATAATACATGTATAATATTGCAGAGAAACACTGATAATTTTAGAGGTCTCTAATGTGATGTCGTAATGTAATGGGGGGCGGTCGGCGCTATTTAGTATCAGCATTGCACCCGTGCGAAGCCGGGGCGGGTCGCTAGTTGTTAATAAAAAAAAGTAAAGTAAAAATGTAATTATTATCAAAGTATGTTTGTATAAGAACAAAGTTTAACATTGATTCCTGTAATAGGATAAGCCTGTCCTATAGGATATCGTAATATCAAATACATGCATACAGAAATTAAAACACGATAGAAACACGAATGAGACAGAGGTGTTCAAGCACACGACTTTTGTACAAAGTCTCCCTGTTTCCTTATAAATATGACAATCCCAATCATCTGGACGAGTGACGGTCCTCCACCGTGCGTTTTTCAAGGTACTTTCTTCCACGCACAACCACACTTTGGAATCAACTTCCAGCAGCACTATTTCCGAACCGATACGAAAACGTAACGTCCAAGAAAAGAGGATATTCCTTTTTAAAAGGCCGGCAGCACACCTGCAATGCCGTTGGTGTTGCGGGTGATCATGGGCGGCGGTAGTCACTTACCATCAGGTGAGCCGCATGCTCGTTCGCCCCCTGTGTTGTAAAAAAAAATATTGCCATTTTAACTGAACAACATTCGTAGCTGGTAACATAAATATAATTCGCCTGCAGAAGGACATTGTAACTCAATTTGTTAGTTCATTGCTGCTTGAAGCTCACAATTATGCTCAATTAGAAAATTTCACTTCGCCATCTTGTCGTCTCCGGATTATGGCAAGTTATTTTTCAATAATAAATAGACGAGACGGGGACTTCTAAGCGATATTGGAAAGTCTCGGTGGCGTTGTTTTGAAGACAGTAAACGGTTAAACGGTGACAGCAGGTGTTTTAGAATTGACTACATTGTAAATATGAATGTTTTGTGAATTAAATATTTACGCTTTTACTATGAAAATATATTTAAAATATTATTTAACCAAATTATGTTTTATAAATTCCATAATAATATTTATTAGTAATTATATGTGCCGTAGTCTATGGATTCGATCTAACGAAGGAGGAAGTCTTAAAAACAGTAAACGAGAAGAGAACATTGATTGAAATAATAGAGAATAGAAGAGGCAAAATGTTGGGCCATCTTATACGACATGACGATTTTTTTAAGAGCATAATAGAAGGAAAGATAGAGGGCTAAAGACGAAGAGGAAGACCGAGGATTAACTACATGGGACAGATAAAGGAAACACTAGGCGTCATGTCGTATAGGGAGATAAAGGATATGGCCTGGGATAGAGCTGGCTGGAGGAAGATGCATGAATTAGTTGCACCGACAAGAGGAAACTCTTAAATGAAAAGAAGAAGTCTATGGATTATCTATTATTATTATAAAATTTATCACTTATTAACACGTAAAGACATTGTATGTCTGTGCATCAAATCTGTGCACAATTTCATAGTGATTGGTTAAGCCTTTAAAGTACTATAGAATAACTGACAAATAAATAAATATCAAAAGACACTTCAGTTTCGTCGTGACCACGACGTGGTGCAATCCACGTCGAAACGTCAGAAATAAAGAAGCAGGTATATAGGTACTATTTAATTCAGCCTTTTCCAAAATTGGTGATAACGCCATCTTGTGGGCGCTGCAGGCCTAAAGAGGGGCGGTAAAATACCCAGAAAAATGGGGGTGTTGTGCAGAGACTTAGGGGGTGATTTGTTTATTTTAAAGTAATAGTGGTTTTTAAGTAGCTGAAAAAATGGGGACGCTAAAAAATAATTTATTCTCAAAATGGGCAGTAGACAAAATAAGTTTAGGAACCCCTGATTTACTTGAAAAAAAGGTACTATTTGCATAACTTAAGTCCCGATAGTGTATTTAAATATGTGTAAACAAGAAGTTTAAAATTAACTTCATAACACAGTTTGTTAATTACTGCTGTAGTGTTAATTATATTAGTGTTAGACTCGACGTTTTTAATTAATGTGAAATTCTCAATGTAGCAGTATAAAAAAAACTGTAATTACAATGAGCTATTTGAAAATTCCCATGTGCCTTCCAACGTTTTATGTTAGAATTATGGTAGAAAGAAAAGTGTGGCAAATGATCCCATTGTCCGACGGAAGACGTCAGTTTATGGGAACATTTTAGAGTTCCCCGTGTAAAAATATAAAAGAGCAAACCCCGTAATGGATACCCTTTTATTCCATTTTTTTTTTGATAAAGTTTTTCTTCTTCCTACATTGTTTTTATTATAACTAATTATAAACACGCCATTAGCACAATTGTGCGAAGGATGTTTGGATGAAAGAAGTAATTTAATTTCAATACATTGCAAGTGGTAGGAATTAAAAAAAATATGATATTAGGTATGTCATAGAATAATGTATGTCGTAGACATATAATTTTGTTTAAATAAAAAAAAAATCAAAGTAAATAAATAATACAATGTATTTTTTTCTGGTAATTTCTTTTTTTTATTTTATACAAGTAAACTTACTTACGTAGATTTATAAAAAAGTAACTTTTTTATAAATGTACCGCCCAGTACGGAATGCAATTTCAGCTGAGAAGAACAGGCAAGACATTCGACTATTGCTTTATATATATATATATATATATATATATATATATATATATATATATATATATATATATATATATATATTTGCAGAGATATGAGCAATTTAATAAAATATTTTCAATACTGAACCTTACTGATGAATGTTCGATACACACTTGGCCAGTTTGTGATTCATATTTGATGAGAAAGATTAACCTGATAACAATTGAGTGAAACCAAATTAGTTAATTACTAATTAACATATGGTCAAACAGATTTTTCAAATGAAATTAATGTGTATCGTATCATATATGAAAGATTGTTTATTGTACAATTTGGTTTCATATAAGTTTTATCAAAATCGGTTCAGCAGTTTAATTTCCAAATCAAATTAAATGGTTTTATTACAACTGAATTAGTTTTTTTTTTTTTTTTTGGTGGAATCCAATCTTAATTTGCATAAACGTGTTTTTACTAAAAAAAAAAAAACTATTTTTAGCGACTATTGGGTATTTTAACAACAAAAACCATATACCATTTCAGCCGTTAACTATCCACTGCTGAACGTAGGCCGCCATAAGGGGGGGGGGGGGGGATTTACCAATAGCAGTCACACTTATCAGGCGGGTTAGCAAACTATAAGGGGTTTTTTAATGGGTGATAATGGAATGGTAACCCCGCCTGCGCTATCGGTATACACTGGCTAGGCTCCAGCATTATTATATATACAGCAGGTAGCAGCATTCTGAGGGATGATAAGTGGCGATGAAAGGCAGGTCAGTTAGCACACCGTGACAATTTCCACTTGAATTAAGCACGATGGTTTTCAGGAGGAACTGCATGGAAGTGGACCTGACAGAATATAATGCTAGTAATAGGACTGATTGTCCGCATTACTAACAATCCCTTCCCCCCCGCAGTTAGGGTTTGGTAATCCCTGCTATCCATCTTTCGACTATTTAGTCGTCTCTTACGACGCCCACAGTAAAGGGCTGCGCATTCTATGCCGGGACCACATGGCATACATTAATAACATAATGTCTCAAAATTAACATCAGTTAAAATACGGGTCGAATAAGAAAAAAATATTTTTAACAAAACGTTAAATTCTGGATTCGAAAATGCTCTAATTACTTCAAAGTACTTATAATTAATCTAAATCCTGTCGGACCGAACTTTTGGAATGTTAGTTTTCAATGTATAATAATATATATTACCAGAGGGAGGCTTTGTACAAAAGTCGATTGCTTGGGTACCTCTGTCCCATTCGTGTTTCAACCGTGAAGCAGTTGTGTTTGCATGGCTGTGTTTCGGTTTGAAGGGTGGGATATGGCGTGAATTTACTGGGTACAGAGGAATAACACCTGAGTCCTCAGGAATGACAACACATGGGGGGTATCATGGGCGAAACGGTATACTCTATTATGTCCATGGTATTGCTCATGTTAATAGGCGACGGTTACCTCTTTCCATCAGGTGGGCCGTCAGCTTGTTTGCCATTCTAAGTTGTATATATATATATATATATATCTACACATATATATGTAGGATTTCCAAATGCGGGATTTTACGTTAAATAAAATCCCTAATTTTCCGTTGATTTCTATTAAGTGTAAAATAATTTAAGTAATGGATGAAAAAGGTACACTATAATACTACGTAACAAAAGGCGCCGCTAGCCAGGCAACTTTGAAATGGCCTTTTTACCGACATCCATGCCTTTTGATGTCGTAACCGAAGTGAGTCAGTAAAAAAAAAAAAAACAAAAAGGAAATTAGATTCTTTTTTTTTTTCTTGATCAGCTCTAAATTCAAGTTGTTTTTATGAAATGTTTATTGAAAGAAATATTTAGTAAGAATATGTTTTTTTTTTTTTGTCGAAAAAGTAAAAATAGGCTTAAACTAAAAATGGATGTTACTGTAACATAGAAATCTGTGCATACAATTTTAATGGCTTAATAACTTATTTGATCTATCGATATGATAAAAAATACCCTAATATTGGGTGTATGCATACATAACGTGTTAGGAAATACAGTGCCCTCTATGTTTATGGATGGAAAACAAAGAATAATGCAAAGCGAACAGAACTACCGGTCATTACGCCTTAATTCATTAATTTCATACGCGTTTGCCAAGTCGTTTTTATACTTAATGTTGTTTAGATTAGAAATCATATTAGAATAGCAATACAATTTTTACCAACTTTGCGCAAGCTAACTTCAGTGTTCCAAAAGGGGTTGTCATAGAAACTGTAATGTACTGCGCGCGCATCACCCACACATAAATAACGACTACTCACACTCCCCTACAATTCTCCCCCAATGTACGAGCGAGATGGAAAGATAGTACAATCATTTACAAAATTACCATGTCTATGTCTAACGTAATATTGACTTAGGTTATTCGTGTATTTATATTAATTATTGGTTATAAAATGTATAAGAATAATATATCGTCAGTTAACGTCGTTAGTTTTAAATATAAACATTACAGCGAAATAATTAATTACAAAGTGTACTTTCCAATTACAACTTCTGTAATGAACTGTACTCGTCGTATCGTTCCCACATACACAACTGGCGCACCGTATACGATAACACTTACTGATGTGTGCGTGTTTTATACCACAGATTCTGCGCGATGGACCCCAGTATTCTCGCAGCCATGGACAAAGAGGCACTGAAAAAGCAGATCGAAAATATGAAGTACCAAGCGTCCATGGAACGCTGGCCGCTATCTAAAAGCATTGCAGCGTGAGTAAAACATTCCATTCTTAAATTTAAAAAAGGATGTAGTGAAACGTCATTCGTGAAGTGAATTAGGCCGTTTGCCCGGGAGTGGTTATCCCTGTGGAGTGTTATACAATTTTGGTGCTTTTTCTATGCGGACTGAGGTATATAATTGCATGTACAGAACAAGCGAGATGGGTAGGCGTTTATCGTCTTTTGCTATATTATTTTGTGTATTCCTAATCATTGTTTAAAAAACGCCCTTTTCGGCCTCGTTAACAGTCTAATTGTGTGTTTTCAGATGAGGTTAAACATATGTGCATATATTACACATACATTACGACAAATTATTTATAGTTACTAAATTAAAACTAACAGTTTAAAGTATCGCTCTTTGTAGTCTATTTTTTATTTATTTTTACTATAAAAATCTTTGAATACATATTGTCATTTTTTATTATAAATCGATCTACCCATTGCAGTGGTATCTAAGCTTCATTACGACCTTTTCAATGGACTTTAAAAAAGAAAAATGTTCTCAATTCGGTGTCTATTTTTTATATTTATTATATTTTTTACTATTTAACTCTTTCAATTATAAACCAATTTGAATTTTTTTTTTTTTATCTGAAAGGATATACATACGGATTGGTCCCATAGAAATTTTATCAAAATGTGTTTAGTTGTTTAGTTTATAGATTAAAACTTTGTCAGTTATAAACCCATTTGGAAAGTTTTATTATTTTTTCATATGAAAACATATACTTACAGATTTGTTCCATAGAAATTTTATCAAAATCGACTTAGTAGTTTAGTTTAGTTTTTAAATTAAAATAACTGATTTTGCCATAGATAAAGTAGATTTTTTTTATTTATTTATTTATTATTACAGGAATCCCATTTCTGGGATGTAGTTGTTTTGGTACATGACAGTTTATTACAATTTTTAAAATCGAATTTATGGAACCCAAATTTAAGTATTATTAACTCGTGTATATTTATATGCGTAATAAACATTAAGAGCTGAGTTCGTAATTGTAATATTTTGAAGTAGGCACAATTATAAAATAATTTGTGGTTTTCCCTGTAGTTCTGACGTTTCATGTTATTTGTGTAGTTCTAAACACAACGTATTTACCTATAGACATTATGGCATTATTATGGTTAATTATAATTATTTTACCAGAAGGAGACAAGTCGATTGCTTGGGTACCTCTGTCCCATTCGTGTTTCAACCGTAAAGCAGTTGTGTTTGCATGGCTGTGTTTCGGTTTGAAGGGTGGGATATGGCGTGAATTTATTGGGTAGAGAAGAATAACACCTGAATTTTCAGGAATGGCAACGCATGGGGGGTATCATGGGCGAAACAGTATATTCTGTTATATCCATGGTATTGCTCATGTCTATAGGCAACGGTTACCACTTTCCATCAGGTGGGCCGTAAGCTTGTTTGCCATTCTAAGTAGTATAAAAAAAAATTGTATAATTCCGCTACTATTCGTATGTATGTGACTGCCAACACTCCAAGATTAACCATCACTATTACTACGAGAAGTTTTTTTTACTCCACTGAGGTGGTAAACAAGCATACGGCCAATCTGATGGTAAGTGGTTACCGTAGCCTACAAACGTCGGCATTACGCGCGCGTTGCTTACCCTACACTACACCTACTACTGCTCTAGTTCTACAACATTCCTTATTAACCATGAATCTCCGACTACCATTACGTCCACGCACGTTTTGCGGCTGTCTGCTTTCTGTTTCACCTCTAAACGAGGCACCTTAAACAAATAATTCTAATCAAATGACCAGTGATTGTTTGGATATGTATGTACAGTATGTTTTTGCACAAAATAACAACTAATTCAGTAAAAGATATATTATATATCATAACATGTTAATACAAAAGATGGAATCTCAGAATCACAATTAGTGATATTTAATCGTTGGTCAGTTTAAAATTATCCTTAATTATTGGAAATTTTACAAAAAAGAAAAAATAGTCTAAACGTTCTATTTTTTTTTTCTTTTGTCTACTTTCTTACATTGTAATAATATAGTGAACAATTTAAAGATATTCGTCCTCATTATGTTTTTATACTATACTCTATTCCCTATTTTGGGACTTCAAACTGCATAATCTGATCAAAATTTGCCCAGTAATTGACGTATAAAAAAGGTAACAAACAAGAAAATAAACGATAGTAAATTGTTTGCCAAAGGATGAAGATTTGATGTCCAGGATCAAACTATATATATATATATATATATATATATATATATATATATATATATATATATATATATGAGTTAGATATTACTTTACTTTCTTTCAGTAAACATTTATCGAGTATTTTACATTACAAGAAATCTAATATATTTTAAATTTATGTAATAAAATTGTGGCTTTTATGTGGGTATTAAACACTACGTACTAATTAAATACATCTCACATTGTTCTGTTTAATTTTATATATATAATATGTTGTAAAACTATAAAATGATGAAATAATGTAACAAAGCAATTTGGTCCTTCATCCTCCGGATCATCCTTTCAACCATTATTGCCAAATATAGACCTACGCCATAATTTAAACTACCATAAGGAATGATTCTAAACCATTTACATCATCAAGTGTTGTAGGCGATGGATCCAATTATCATCTGCAATATCTTTGAAGTAATCACTTTATTTTATAAGTGGTTTAATACATTACATTTGCCTATATTATATGGCTTTTACTAACAAAAAACATAATATAACCATTTTTTTTTTCACTTAATAATATCTACTTAAATAGTATAAAACAAATCCTTCTACTACCAAATAGCTTTAATACATTTTCTTTATAAACCAAAAGATATTCTCAAATATCCTAAACCTAATGTAATTCATAACATTAATACTTCTAATTTGCTATTAATAAGTTGATCATCGTTGTTTTTCGAAACCAAATTTTAAATTATGAACACTATTTTAAAATAACCGTTACTCAATATTTCAAGTATGAGATGTATCAAAAAGTATTAATAAATCTATTTTGAAACCCGATTCGAAAATAGAATCGAATGGAACATTTCAAACGTACTTTTAAATCTTTATGACTGCATATATAAACTATATTATAAGCAAAGATATAGAATACTGTAAGAATGAATTTGAAATCATTAGCATTCTTTTGATAGAATGCTCTATCGTTGGAACTGAATATTTCCCCAAAAACTGAACATTTTTCCAGTGAAACATGGGTTGGCGAATGACAAGAAATATTGAGCGTCCCATATTAATATGGCCCACCCTGCTGTCAAGTTTGTAGGGAAGGCTCAAAATTTCCATATTACTATTGGGGGAAAAATATTCAGTTTCACTAACAGAATTCTCCCTTAAAATGATATTACCTTACGAGGAGGACCCTCGTGCTTATATGTCATATTTATGCTACAACGAATGCGTTTTATCGCGCAGAAAAAAAGCGATCTTCCCCAGACAATCCGGTTAACGGAAATTAATTGTACGGAACGTGTGATGTGTATGTATAAAACGGTCGCTAACCAATATTTGAAATATCAAAGGGTCTCTCGTAACCGAAATAAAGTTAAAATTAATCAAATCCGCTGAAAAAAATGTTGTATGGATTTTAATTATACTTCCCACCAAATTCCTTTTGTGGTCTAAGCGGGTCGCTCTCAAAGGACAGTCGTAAAATGGAATAAATACATTTTATTTGAATTCTTGGATATTTTTTTTTTGAAAAAAAAATGTTCAATCCCTTAAAAGATGCTAATGCTTCCATTTCCATCCTGTATATACCTAGATGATATTTAGCAATCAAAATTACTTTTGGTCAATTGGAAGATTTGACTGCAATATTAGTTGATTTTAAGGATATTTTTACTTAACAGTTAAATATTATATAATGTACCATGTTTTTTATTGTAGAAATATAGAATAATGTGGTAATCCTGCTAGCAGGGGTAAAGGAATTGTTAATAATGGGGACTAACTGCCCTATTGCTGGAAATATAGGGTATATTATATACCAGGTCGATATCCAAGCAATCCCCCCTGGAAACCATTATGTTTAATTCCAGATGCATTCATCACGATGGGCTAACTGACCTGTTTTCATTCCCACCTACTACCCTTCTTTGATATTCCACCAGCATGCACCAATAGCACAGGAGAGGTTAACCTTCCATTTAACTTTTAAAAAAACTACCAGAACTAATTGGTACCGCTGGTGGAGTACCAGTGAAGTGAAGATGAGGATAAACTCAGTTGGTTCAATGTGTCAAATTCACGAGAAATTAACTCCTATGACTTCCAAGAGGGCCGCGAAGAAGAAGTCAGAAGGTCAACCAGACCAAGCATATTGTTAGCAATTGGACGGTTTATCCCCATCACTAGCAATTCTTTGCCCCAAACATATCCTGTCAATTAACAATATCCCAAAGCGTGACAGAATTGTTTACAATCCCCTCAGATGTGAGAAGTGTTTACCATGCTTAAAGCAGGATAAAAATATTTGCAGTGCTCTCATGTGTTTCTGAACGTGCCAAAAGTATTTATTTATATTAGCCATAGCGCGATGAAAACATTTTGATATTTTGTAATAAAAAAAATAATTTAAATTTAATCGTAATTATTTATTAGCCTTATATTATACTACTAATAATCATCATCATCAGCCATTAACTACCCAATGCCGAACATAGGCCTCCCCAATAAGGAAGGTTTTGCTAGTAGTTGCTACGCTTGGCAGGCGGGGGGGCCTGACTGTGGCGGGGTGGCCGCAGTTCGGCTTTGATGATGTTTTAAGAGAAACGTTAGCCGAGGCCTCGATCATTAAGTTCCCTTATTCGCCTCTTACGACACCTACGGGAATAGAAGGGGCGGTCCTTTCTATGCTGGGAATACACGGCAGTACGACTTATTAACAAAAAAAAATTAACAAAATGTTAAAATGTTTGGACGTTTATTAACCAAACGTGCTTCCTTAAATGGTTATAGATTTTGAAATAA